TTGGCTCATGTCTGGGAATTGATTGGGGGGTTGGGACTCTCCATTTTTATGATTCAAGTTATACTTTCATTCATTTGACCTAGAACTCTTCCACTTACATGGATCATTAGGAATTTAGTAAATATCCTACCTATTTTACTTCTAGGAACACCACCGTTCTGTAGCTATTTTGATTGCAGCTCTTTACAGTAACCATGCCTGCCCGGCCTGGTCCATTAAACTGTAAAGAGCAGACCAAGTTGGCTCCTCAATCTCTTGGGTAAGTGGTACCCAGAGGCAAAAGAGGGTTCAGTGGTGTGTCACTGGGACTGCTGTCTGCAGGACAGGCCTCACATCCTGAGTGTGAAGGGCCCTGGGAGAAGAGCCTTTGTTGCTGAAAGAACTAAAACCTTATTTCCATGTTTATCTAGATTTCTTCAATGTAAAAACTGAGCAGATATGGATGGAGGGAGCTGCTTTGCCAAGTAAACATAACAAGATCTCTTACTTAGGGTCTCCAGGAAGAAAGTCTTAACTCTTTGGCTTGTGTTTTAGTAATGAGAGGTTAAATAAAAAAGGACCATATCAAATCTCTAGCTCCTTACATACTGGGTTCATAAGTAATAGGAGTGGGAAGGGTTTAAACATTACACGCCTTTAAAAACAACCTTTATGTGGAAACTGGTCTCAAAATTTGGTCACTGTGAGTCTCCCAAGCCCCTTGTCATTACCTCTCTTTGAGAATTAATCAATTTACAGAAGGTGGAGAAAGGAGTGCCGTCTGTGTGTCTTCCCTCTACAACCAGATTGGAAGCATCTTGAAGCCAAGGGCTATCCTATAGTCCTATACTAAAAGGTCCAGAATGGTTTGGGGGCAGATCTGGTGCTACAATATTATTTGAGTTCAACTGTAATGGAATTGTAGCAAATAGAGGCCTGACTGAGAGCATGTCTCAGATATGAGGACCTAAGACCCAGAGGTTCAGAGACAGGTATCCAGAGGGAACAGAGGAATTGCAGAGATGCTAAGAGAAACCCTGTGTCATCAAGGTAGCACTTCACATATTTTGCGTAGGAAAGGTGGCCAGCTACTCAACTAGGAAATAGTAGCACTTTCTTTGTTTTCCTTAACAGAACTTTCTTCATTTTCATTAACAGCTTCATTTTTCGCATCCTCCAACTGCGGGGTTCTTCGAAACTCTGGATGTTTTGCCACCTGGGCCCAGGTGAGTAAGTTCATAAGGCTCCCCCTTAGCCGTTCCTCAGTCTAGGGACCCTCCATCCATTCAGACAGCAGGAATTCTCAGTTCCTCTCATCCTGTTTTCCCAAATCTTTTGCTTATGATTAGTCATTTTTGTTTCCCTCATGGTGAGACTTGAGACTTAAAAGCCAAAGCAGGCCTTTCTCCCTCTTCCTGGCTGTCACTCTGAGGCATTGGGCACACAACTGCTTAGCCAAGTAAATGGACTGAACAGCAGAGAGAACAGGAAATGCTAAACCATGGGCAGAATGTTTCTAGACATTATCCCACACTTCCTCCTCTACTATGTAATTTAATACAAATCTTACTTGATTCTCACTCTTCAAGGTAGGACAGTAAAGTTTTATGATGTCCCTTTTACAAAAAATAAATCATGCTTGAAGACCCCGAGTGACTTTCCCCAGGCCGCACAGGAATTTCTGATCTCCCAGAGCTCTGGTGTCAACTTAGCAAAGGCAAAGCACATTAGCCTCTGGCATCATAATTTAGAGAGCCTCGCTGAGTTAGCAATACACAGTTTGTGCTTTGCCAGGCCAATTATGTTATTTGGAGGTCAGTAGCCCTGAGGTGCTGGCAGAAAAGTGATTTGTCTATGACAGGAAAGAGGATGATATCATGAATATACCCAAACGATCTGCTTCTGTACTGCCCTTGAATTAGCTTCTGAACAATCTAGTATTTTGTAGTACATTTTCTTTTTTTAAATTGTATCATTTTAAACTGAGGTAACATTGGTTTACAATACTGCACCTCTTCAGATGTATGTTACCACACCACATGTATCACCAAGGCTCAATATTCCTCCACCACAGAGCACTGTCACTTCCTCTCCACTTTGCTCCCCACCCTCCAACCTCCTTTCCTGGTAACCTCAATCCTTCAGTCAAATTTCTAGGGTTGATTCTGGTTTAGTTTTATCTGTTCCTTTGTTTTGTTTCTTTTTATTCCATATATGGGTGAAATCACCTAGTATTTGTATTTTTCCTCCTATTGTAAATAGTGCTGCAATGAATGAAGGAGTGTATGCACCCCTTCAAATGAGTGTTTCTATATTCTTCAAATAGACAGGTACCTAAGAGTAGAATAGCTGGATCATATGGAAGATCAATTTTTAATATTTGGAGACTGCTCCATACAGTTTTCTATAGGGACTGGACCAGTCTACACTGCCAACAACAGTGTAGTGTAAGGGGATTCCCTTTTTCCACACCCTCACAGCACTTACCATGTCTGGTCTTTTTGATACTGGTCATTCTCATGGCAGTGAGGTGATATCTCATTATGGTTTTGATTTGCATTTCCCTGATAATAAGTAACAATAAGCATTTTTTTCTATGCCTGTTTGCATCTGTATCTTTCTTTGGAGAAGTGTCTATTCAGCTCTTCTGTCCTTAATCGTACTTACTCTGCAGTCAATTGAGTTGACCATGTCGAAATCAAGCTAATGATTAAAATTACCATAATTTGCTCACAGTCAGGTACTTTTAAGTCTGTGGAATATTGCTGAAGCTTCTTAAGGAAGATAGAAAATGGAGAGAAGTGGAAAATTCAAAGGACTGTTCGCCTTTTCCATATAGGCTAGCGGTATTACAAAGGTAACAGAAAGATCAAGGAACACCTTGCCTTTCCAGTGGCAAAAATGTTTTATCCTATGGATCCACTCACTGAGAAAGTCCTTTAGCAAACAGTCCCAAATAATACCTGTTCTTCCTCAGGTGTCTCAGTTTACTCAGCAGTAAAGAGGCCCAAAGGTCTATGGTAAAGGACTATGGTGTCTTAGTGGTGGGAGTTGGTGTGGTGACATACATTTAAGAAGGTGTGAACTTATTCCACTACATCATACACAGTATTACAAATCAATGCAACCTAAATTAAAGATAAATACTTCCCTAAGTCAGCAATATATGTAGCCAATACTATACACATCTTTGAGCACTAAGTGTCCCCTCTGCTGAGGAAAACTGACACTTTCTCCATTATTACAAAGCAAATTAATAGAAAAAATCATTTTTTCCCCAAGAACAAAATATTTTTACACTTTTACAAACTCTCCAAATATCTTGGTTTATGAAATACACTGTCTTTATACTAAGGAAAGCTTCAAAATGTGTGTAACTTAGTCATGTACTTTGCAAAATGTTCATTATGTGCAGAAGGTAGCATATGACTCTAAGAAGATAAAAAAAAAACAAACAGAAAAATATGTAGATTATCCACCAGTCTCATTATATGCACAAATCTTGTGGGAGAAAAATATATACAAATTTAAAAATATTTTGAATGAATTATCAAAGTTATCATTGGTTTGCAAAGGAAAAATCTCTGTATTCTTGAAGCAACCACTTATACAGTTGTTGGGAAAGGCAGTCACTGCAATATTACTAGTCTATTGACATATGAATTCGACCTGGGCAACAGGAGGCTCCTTGCCCACCCCCTGTCTTTGGAACAAGTATTCTGCTTTCCTTCCCTAAACCCAGAAACTGCTCCAAGGACACACTCTTGAGATAGAATTGTGCTGAGACCATTTGGATGGTGTACACAGAAACTTTTAAGATTTGGTGGACAGGTGTGGAAAACTCTCTTATTTTGCAGTCATCTAGGATGAAGTCTTGAAGTATGCTTTCTTGTTCATTAAAATGGTCACCTACCAATATAGAATGGTATGCCTCTTTCTGGGGGCCAATTCTAGGTTATATCCAGGAAGCTTCTGGGGAAGTTACAACCCAACAATAATCTTTTCCTCTAATGCTTTATATTCCCATTCACATTAGTTGTGATTTTAAAGCACTATTATTTGTAATTAAGGAAGATGTGTTATAGTTTTCTGATCTTCTCTTTCATCAAAACTGTGTTTTGCTGTGTGGGCACCACACCACAGCTGATATGCTTTTCAAATTCATAACTGGACACTATCTCCTTTACTTCCTTATTTATTATTTTATTTTGTTTTTTTTTTATATTGTTACTACATATTCATCTTGTGTTAGGTACCCCAGAATGTCGCTAATAAGAATAAAATTCTCAAGCATGAATCAGAAATTTGATATTTTTGCTATTTTTTTCCATATCAAGGCAGAGTTTCTCATACTTCCCTAATTCAGCCACTGGGTTTTTCCAAGTTTGTGGATTCACACAAAATAAATGCCTTAAGCTCTTTAAAGAAAATGACCACCAATGGGTGTACTATGCCATTACTCTTGGCTAATAGAAAAAAACTTCTGTAAATTCAACAAAAACAAGGAACTTATAAAATGAACCTTTTATATCTTAAGAATCAGGCTTGCTACCTGGTTAAACATGCTGTTAACACAGATCAATAAAACATTTACTTGAAACACTCTCATCCTGGATTTAAGAGCATACTTCAATGGTTCAAACTTTTAATTAGTTAATAATAGGGTAGGGCCAGAGCTATTTCTTGCTTTAAATTAAATTTTCAGAGGAAAAATACATTTATGAATGCTCTCTGCCAAAGGAACAGTGTTCCGCTTAAAACAGTACCCATTTCCTAGAAGTAAAACATTAAAGCAATCATCTATGAGATTACAGATGTGTGTTCCCTTCTCTTCTGGATTTAAAAGTTAAAAATTACATTTCTAAGAAATAGCATTGTGGCTCCTCAGGCTGACATGAAGACAGAAAAGGATATGTATTATGGGGTGATTTCTTGACATTGAGGTCCTCTAAAGTGGTAAACATGTACAATTATGAAAAAATAAACACTTTACTGTAAAATAAGAAGGAGAAAAATCTTACCCGAATCCAGAAAGTAAGCGACAGAAGAGAAAGAAGCCATAACCTTGGACAAATGAAGAAAGGAAGGCAAAGAATCCGTTGACAGACATGCAAATCAGAAGAGACTGTTTCCTTCCCACTTTGTCTGCCAGTCCTCCCCAGAAGAACGCCCCCACCATCATCCCGAGGTACACTATGCTGCCTGCAACACACAGAAAACAAAGAAACACATCAGAGAGGGGGAGCAAATGACATATGAAACAGCAAATGAACAAGGGACAAAATACATTCCAGCATTTTGCATGGTAACTATGTCCTTTAAAATATGTCCTTCAGGATGCAGAAATCAGCTTTCAACTTGGAGAGTAAGCCCTATGAGCTACCTTTGGTGGTCAAAACCCAAGGCAAGGCGAAAGACAAAACAATCATGTTCTCCCAGTCTCTTGGAGATGGGTACAGGAGCAGGTGTGAGGAGTCTCCACACAGAACAATACTGGAGTCTGACTCACAGTCATGTCACCTTTGGTCTGAGCGCCCCACCTAGACCATTGTCAAGGGCACCCAAGTGGATCCTCCAGCCTGCTTCAAATCCCTGCCTGCAGCAGATGACCTGTGTCCAGGTCAACCAAAGACTTCCATGGATTCTTTCTCTCTAGTCCCTCCTGAAAGCCCTGGTTCTTCCTTTAGAGTTAGGGAAGAGGGGCTTAAAGATTACAAGAGTTAATATTAAAGTAGTTTTACACTCTGCCAGGAGAGACAACAAACTTTTTCTTGGAGTCAGGGTCTGGAGGCACCCAAGGAAAAGGGAAATAGCCATTAGTAGATTAGGAAATGTTAACACTTGTCATGGGTGGTTTTGCTTCCATAAGGGAAACAAATGGACAATTTAGAGTAAGCAGATGTTCCTATTGATGTAGGGACATGTCACTCTGAGTGTACACAAATTTTCTAATTCACTTGCTTCTTTAAAAAAAACAAACAAACAAACCCAGATGGAAGCTCTGTCTAGATTGTCAGGATGAGATCACATTTGGTATGGTATGAGTTACCTCAGAAGGGATTCTGAAAGTGTGTGCAACAGCTAGAGGAATGGCGTGATTAATAGATGAAAGTTTGCTACATCTGGATGTAGTATTAAAAAAACTGCTACTTTTTTCTTTTGTCTGTTTTTGCCTTCTCTCTTGCTGCACCAAAGCACCATTTGAACAGACCCTATTCAAAGCACTTTCAAGGTGCTCAGCAGCTAAAAAAGAAAACACTTTTTTATTTATTGCTTTAGATTAATTTGGCAAATATCATATTTGAACACTTACCCCAAATTAGTTTGCTTAACTCATAGTTAATAGACCAATATGAGATCCAGGAGAACACTTGGCAAACTATGGTGACTCCCACATCCTGCCTCCGGGTACTGCTGCCTGCAGACAGTGCAGTGCAGACAGCTATAGTGAGTGGCGAATGTGAAACAGTTGTACAATGAGACAAAACAAAAGTTGTTTTTATTTAAACTGAAGTACTGCAACATGGCAGGATATCATTCTTTCCCTGGGTGTGGAAGGTTATTTTTTTCCATACTACAGACCAACCATACAGAGAACATCCTTCCTAGTAAAGAGATTACTCATAGCCAAGACCCAATGCATGTCTAGAAAAGAATTTAAAGAACATATAAGCACGGGGCAAAGGGACTCCAAAAGCAGACAGGTCTACCTAGGGAAGTGCATGACAGCATATCTTGTTTTTATTGCCCAAGAGACTCAGGTTTGTCATTCATGCCTCTCAAAAGAATAGCCAGCAGCTAAACTTCACATAAAATCAGTGTCTTTAGACATGCCTACAAATGGGAACGTGAGTGTCCACAGACAGACTGATTCGTGGCTTTTGTGATCTAAAGACTTGAGAGACTTCCTCAGAGCTCCAGCCTTCAGAACAACAACAACAACAAAAAATGGTAACAATCACTTGCTGAACACTGAGCTAGTTCTAAGTGTTTGTATAATGTCTTTTATTAATAATTTTTTTATTTGGGCCTCCCTTGTGGCACAAGGGGGTTAAACACCGCACTATGAAGCAGTCCTCAGCCTCTGCAGCACGAGTTCCATCCCCGGCCAGCCAGAGAGGAACCCACATGGCGCAGCAGACCTCTTCTGTCTTGCCCGCTGCTCCCCTCAGCAGTGTATTTCAGTCAGTCTGCCTGTTCTGTTCTCCACTCTGTCTCTGGTGGATCCTCTCACCCCCCATCTCTGGCCTGTACCCCAGCTCTTGTATGCATAAATAAATCTTTAAAAAATTTTTATTTTGTATATTTTTTTATTTTATTTATTTTATACAAGCCCTGGGTACAGTCAGAAGCGCGGGAGGGTGAGAGAATTCACCAGAGCCAGAGCGGGGAGCAGAGCAGGCAGAAGGACCGAAGTGCACTGCTGAGGGGAGCAGCGGGCGGCAGGAGAGGTCTGCGCGCCATGTGGACCCTCCTCTGGTGGCCGGGGAGCAGCCGGGGATCGAACCGGCACTGCAGAGGCTGTGGGCAGCTTCGCAACCAGCGCTCAACCTCTGCGCCACCGGGGAGGCCTATTTTGTATATTTTTTACATCATTTTTTCATTTTTGCACAACATATGCATTTTCATCTTGGTTATAGTCCCCATACAATTCCCACCCCCTTTGTTTTGATCCTACTCCCTCCTCCCCGGCCCCTCCCCCATAGTGTGTCTCTGGTTGATAGTTGCTTGTTGAGTTTGATTTTTACTTTATCATAATTAGTCTTTTTCCTGGTCCCTTATTTAGGTTTTCTAAATTCCTGCTATGAGTGAGACCATCCGGTATTTTTCTTTTTCTTTCTGGCTTATTTCGCTGAGCATGATCCCTTCCAGCTCCATCCATGTTGCTGCAAATTGCATGAGTTTATCTTTTTTGATTGCTGGGTAATATTCCATGGTGTATATGTACCACATTTTCTTGATCCAATCATCTATTTTGGGGTATTTGGGTTGTTTCCATAGCTTAGCTATTGTAAACAGTGCTGCTATAAACATAGGGGTGCAGGTGCCCTTTTGAATTAATGTTTCTGTGTCCTTTGGGTAAATACCTAGGAGTGGAATTGCTGGATCATATGGAAGCTCCATCTTTAGTAGGTTGAGGAACCTCCACACAGCTCTCCATAGTGGTTGGACCAGTTTGCACTCCCACCAGCAGTGCAGGAGAGTTCCTTTTTCTCCACATCTCACCAACATTTGTTGTTGCTAGTTTTTTTAGTATGTGCCATTCTTTAATGTATTTGATCCTTATAACAGCCTTCTGAGGGCAATACTATGGAGTCCCAATTGTTTGGTGAGAAAGGGAAGTATGAGAAGTTAATGATTTGACCACAGAATTAAGTTGAGATTCGGTCCCAGTGGCAGTTCTTTCTATGGCACTTGAGTCCTTGAACAGTCCTGGCTGCCCTGCTGTGAAGACACCCGTTTGTCCAAGCTCCTGTGTGGCAGTATCATCTAGAATGGAAAGCAGTGCCTTAAATGTCTGAGGTGTCTCCTCCCTGGGCACCACCTTCACAGAATGAGTTAAGCCCAGATTAGTAAAATGATTGACAGGAGCGTAGGGAAACGCTGCCATGCTCTCCCCAACACATGGCAAGGGGTTCACCACTCACTGCCACACATTCCAACAGAGCACATCCCCTGGGCGGAGGGAGGGAATCACTGCTGAAACAGCTTGGTTGTACCAGAGGAAAGTGGAAATCCACCCCTTGCTAAAAACACACAGACTCCAGCACACAGTCCCAGAGGAGGACATCTTTGCTTTTCTGGAGCAGGAGGGACGATGCTCCCACAGGACTGGTCTCCACGCCTGTGCTCCTCCTCTCACTGGCTGCCTGTCACTGTCTTTGCTCCCTCAGCTCTGCGCTTTATGAAGTGATGACTCCAGTGCTATGAGGACCCTGTCTGCGATGCTAACGCTTGGGCACCAGCAATAGTGTGAGAACACAGTCCCACATGGGAGCTTTGAGAAGCTCTAAAGTAGTAAAGGTTGAAGGAGCTGAGCTTGCCCTTGCCTTCTGCCACTGACTTCTGTGGAAGAGCCTTAGGGACTGGACGTGGTAGAAAGTCCTCTATTATTAGCACCTTGTACCTAAAGTCACTTGAAATATCATTTGTTAGGGGTTTTAATATATAAAAGAGTGAAATTCAAATGGCCATCCTTCAATTCCCCCAGACACCTCTATTAATATGTAATAGGCCCTCACTTCATCGATAGGCTCTTAGAAACTATGATTTTAGGTGAAACAAAGTCTAATGAAAGCAGGTCCTCAAATAAGGTCAGTTTGTTCAACACTAGTGGGGACTTGTTTTTCTCATCAACATTATAATGAAGTGTTGTTGATAAAATGATACTTGAGGACCTGTTATATATATTATATACAGGTATAAATTATGTATGTGTGTGTATATATATATAAAACTATGCCTACCTATATAAAAATGTCTACAAATGAAAATAAGTCTCCTTTTCCCTTGGTCCTCTTCCCAAAGGTATTGCTGTCAATTTTTTCAAGATTTGAATTCAGCTGGGCCTTCAAAAGGTTGAACCTGACCAAAGAAATAAATGCAAACTAAGACTCACTTTTCTTCTATCCCAGCTCTGGTTCAGGCCTTTCTAGGCCTGTCCAGTTGTTCAGGTTTTCAGACGACTGTAAGCAGCCTCCAGCATGACCGCCCCATTAAGGTATTTTCTAACATGGGTCCTGAATCCATTTTATTTAATTATAGCCTCATTTCCCCTGATAAATATCACATTTCCATTTCTGCCTCTTTGCTAAGCTGCTTTTGATTCTTTTTGACAATTTCAAAGGGAGAAAGAACATCCTTTTCCCCCAATACCAATTTAAATGCATTTAAAATAAGCAGAACAATTTTAAGAAATGGTAAATACTGTTTTTCTCATAGTAAATTTTAGCCCATAGGTTTTTATTTTTATTATTTAAAAAAATTTACTTATTTTTTTCTTACATCATTGTGACCCCCATAGTTCTTCTACCACCGTTTCACTCATGAACCATCACCATATTTCCTTGTGTCCATCTCTCCTCTGTTTTGCTCCCCTCCTGCCCTCTCCTTTGCTGTATGCCTCAGATTATGGTCAGCTTGCTAGTTTTGATTTTTCTTGACCTTTTGTTTAGTTTCTCTAGATTCCACATATAAGTGAG